GAAGAGGCTGAACCAGCCTGGGCACACACTCAGACCTTTCCACGCTTAGAGGGAGTGATCAGAGAGGGCATTCTGGACACAGGTAGGGCATATGAATAGATGGGCCCATTCCCAGATCCTAGGAAAAGCCAGGGGTGCTGGGGGCACACGGAATGAGAATGAGAGGGGCAGGCCTGGCTTCAGAACATGGGGACATCATGCACAAGAAAAATGCTGGGCCTTTCTTTCAAAATCATTAAGAATTTCAAGATGGCAGCAGCACATTAGGCCAAGTCCAGGGCCTTTGTGAGCATGGGGCCATGTGCCACCATGCACGTTGCACGCCCATGAAACTAGCCTTGGAGAAGGGAAATAAATCATCAGGGTCAGCCAAGAAGGTTGTCTTTGATCTCTGTGAGGTATCCCCTCAAATTGGAGCCAGTGGTCTGTTGCCTACCTGTGCTTAATTTTCCTCCCTATTAAGTCATGAATCACCTTCTGCTGATGATCTAGGGACTATATTCTATAGAAAAGCTTTGATGTCCACAGAAGAGCAACATTAAAATATATGAACACTTATTATTTGCTCATGAAACTTCTGCTTCATGATGGAATAAGAAATATAACATTTTTAACACAGAAGGCCTTTGAGTGTGGAATGCCTCCCCTCTCAATATGTTATCAGACCTACCTATTTTTTTTTTACCATTATAATATGCATGACTGCTGGGAAAAATATTAAAGTAGTAAAAAGTTACTGGAGTTCAAAATAAAAAATTCCCTTTATTGTGAGTGCATTGGGCTATGTATGAGAGGGGGAAAAAGTGGATTGAGTTTCAGTAATGAAGTAATTTGAAAATTGGAGCTGGCAAATTTTTAATTTATGTGATATATGACTATGATATATACATTGAGAAGTCTTAATGATGGAAAAGGTGCATGGTTTCTTGTGTTGGAATACCACTTTACCATTGTCTGGCCTCTGGAACGAAGTCTAAAGGCCTCGGCTCAGGATTCTAGAAGAGGGTCGTGTGGAAATGAGGCAGCCCCTGAGCCAGCCTGACTTCAAACCCTGCCTCTGGCTTTCACCGTGTGGTTCTGGGTAAATGATATAACCTCTTCAGGACTCCCTCATCTGCAAAATGGCATAACAGTGCCTGCATCACAGGGTGGTGTGAGGGCTTAGGGACATTGTGCAGAGTAAGCACCCCAAAAATGTTTGCTATTGTCTGGCTCACGACTGCTGTAATTATTACTCTGTGGCCTGGCCCCGCCTGCCTCTCAGCATTATTTCCTGTGCAAGCCGAGGCCCCCTGCATATCCTAGCAGATTCTCTGTCCTCTTATTGCTGCCCTGGCTGTACATAGGCTGAGTGACCGCTTGGAGGGGATGTTGTGGAGGCGAACTGAAGTCACAGAAGGGAACTGGGTTGCATGAGATCCCCAGTTCCTTTTGGCTCTAAGATTCCATCGGATCAGCAGAGTGCACTGGACAGTTAGTAGCACAATGCTCCACATTCTCGAGTGTTCTTTGACTCTTCTCTGCTTCCCTGGAATCTGCCACTCATTTTTACCACACCAGTGAGGGAGCTTTCTGTTCCACCACCGAGCCTGATGTGAAGAACCCACAGTGGGAATCCTGGGGAAAGACCAGGGGAAGGTAGAGATGGGCCTCAAAGGAAGGCAGGGACGTGGCAGAGAGACCTGGGCATCTGCACTCCTTGCTTAGATTCTCCGAGCTGCAGTTTCTTCAGCAGCAAAGTCGGGTTCTTAGTGCCCAGTGCATAGGGGGCCAAGTGAACCAGATGCTGCATCCAGAGAGTCTGTGAAATAGTGTCCCCTGGCCACAGGGGGACTTGGGCTGTGTCCGAAAGGGGATTTACAGGACCAGATGGCTCACAGAGAAAGTGGTTTGCAGGCAGGTGGGGGCAGATGGTAGGAGGCCCTGAAACCAGACAAAGGGACCTGGGCCTGAGTTGGGAGTCTCGCTATTGTCACTGTTCCTTGTCCTCTTCTTCCTTCTCTTCTGGTTGGTGCTCTGTACAAAATTTAATAGGTTCAGGTTAATAGGACTAATTTTCATGGAATCAGACTTCAATGGATATTTCTCCAGCTTTAGAAATAGCTGCAAATCTGCCCCAGGCCACCCTGGAAAGCAAAATAAAGCCCTGTGCACCCTGGTACCTCTTCCTGGTTGCACTAGGCATAGGTATGGAGGGCGGCCCGTCTAGGGCCGGCTGTCTTGGCACATTTCCCAGGCGCTGTGGCCCACGGGCTGAGGAAGGCAGAGCCAGTGCTGGGGGCTCCTTACCATCTCTCCCCAGAGAGCCCTGAGCCCAGAGCACACCCCGCCGCGCTGGCAGCGTGAGCCTCTGTCCTTTCAGCTGGGACTGAAACGCCCACTGCCACATGCTAACCCGGGTGTACTGACTGGCTAGCTTCCATGGGACAGAAGTTATCCTTGACATCTGCAACTTTAATCCTCAAAGGCTCAGATTATCTGGAGAAGAAAGCAAGGTGGCTAGAGTTACAGGTTCAGAGTCCGGCGGAGCCAGGTTCAAGGAGCTTCCTCACTAAAGCAGTCAGTTCAGCGCAAGGCCGTTAACTGTTTACTGAACAACTACTGTGTGGGAGACATTGTGTGAAACAAAGCAGCCTGCCCCCTCACACCCTTCCCAGTGGTTCTCAGGCACAGACTCAGGGGGTGGGGTTGAAGGTTGTTCTGCATACCTTGGCATAAGTAGAGTGGCTGTTGCATGAATTATCACAATGATGGATGTTTAAGCCTCAGTTTTCCCATCTGTAAACCTTTGCTCATGGAGGGGCAATGGGCATGAAAGGCAAAAACAAACATACAGCACCTCTTATAATGTCCTACTCTTACAAGGCATTGACCAATAGAAGTTGTTATTTTTCATTTGCTGTAAAACTAACAAAAGACCTCTTTTTCACTGGGGCTTTATGAGAGAAATTACTAAAATAAAACCATCTGAAATTTGCAATTAATTCCAAACACTAAATATTTATTATTTTTTCTCAACCTTCCATCCTGGATGATAACACTACAAAATAGTAAGTGTCATGTACCATCCTAAGCATTTAGGCCTCTCAATAGCCCTGTGACACAGGTACTTTGTCCCATTTTACAGAGAAAACTCCAGCACAGGAAAGGTAATGAACATGGCCAGGGGCATGTATCTGAAGAATATGCCTTTAGTTTGCATTTCCTCTGCCTCCCCCCCCCCCCCCCGCCGGCCCCCACTCTTTCTAAGTCCCGGAGGACTTGGCCCAGGAGGCCCACTATGGCACTCCTGCTTTCCCGGAGTTCCCCTGATCTTTCTGTCACTACACAAACACAGCGGGAGGCTGCTTGTTGCCAAACCAGAAAAATCCCCCCGGTGTTTACAAATTGCCCCTCCTCCATCTCCTTCGGAGATGTTACTCGGCAAGGCCTAACCCCTTCTAAGCAAAGGGCCTTGGGGAGAAGCAGCGGCGGGCTGGTAGTGGTGTTCCTTTGTAAGCCGAGACATCGGGGAGGAAAGAAGTGATTTCTGACAGCAGCAGGCTGAGGGGAATGGAGTGGCAGAGCCTGCAGAAACGGTGTCAGCACCACTCAGCTGCCAGCTGCACGTGCCAAAGATGCATCTCTCAGCGACCTTTCTGAGCTTCCACGACGAAGTGGACTCTTCGGGCCAGTCAACTAGGGTAGGGCTAGTGGGACGGTAGGCGGAGAGGTGACATCCTGCGCCTGCAGGAGAGGTCCAGTGCCCCATCAGAGAGCAGAATGGCAGCCATCCACCTGAGCACCAAGTGGGGAAGAAGTGGTCACCTTCCCCTTCCCCCACTTCCCCCCAGGAAGAAGGAAGTCAAGTGGGTGAAATGGGGAAGTCCGCGCTGCTCCTGCGGTGGCTTTTAAGGGTCTATGTGACAGTTGACTGTAATCGCCAGTGAGACAAAAGCCTCTGCCATAAACATGGTTGGCAAGGGGTTTCTGGAAACTTTCTCAGTATGCATAAAGGAGAAGGAGTCTTCTACACACTGCTTTGTGTCTCAATCTCACGTAGGCCGCTTTCCACCCGCGCCTCTTCTTCCCTTCACGTGCATTTCAGCAGCAAGGGGATCACTGCTGCGCAGTCAGGTGCCATTTTGAAAACTGCTTCCCTCTACTTAACCCTCTCATATTTCTGAACGTTATTTGGAAATGCACTTCGAAAATGTCTTGTGCTAAAGAGGCTTTTCAATTTAATCTTGGAGTGAGATTTTTCAATTTAGAGGAAGACTTTTCTATTTAATCTTCCTATTTTGGAAGTAATAGGATGGAGGTCTGGCATTGAACCTCGGCCTCCCTAGCAGTCGCGTTAAAATTTAGGAAAATAAGCAACACGAAAGTAAAAGAACTTCCTCATTGTCAGGCAGCAAGTCAATAGCAGAGCTTGAACTTGACTTATTTTTCTAAAGGAGAGGCGTTGTACTCCACACTCCAGATATTAACCTCCAACCAGCAAATATTCCAGTTATCTGATTTGGACACTCACAAAAATGATGGCCATGAAAAAAATATGTATGTTACAGTGAGGAAACTTTTTCAAAAATTACCCAAGCCAAAGGAGAACGCAGGCGGGGAAACAAAGAGAGCCGGGTGGGGCGAAGGCCCTACGCTGGCCTGAAAGCTGAGTCACAGAAATCGCACCCCTGCAGTGGGCGAGGCCCTCCAGCCAGGGACACCGCACCCTTGCTTGGGGATGTCTGCATCAGACAAAGCCAGCCTCGCAGTATAGGCATGTCTGTCCCCCTAGGTACTACCCAGGCCCTTGGCTATGAAGCTCCGATCTCATGAGAGGCTTTGAGCGGCTGTAGCGAGAATCTATGGAGATAAAATTGCCGTGAATGGGGGAAAACTCATTATGAAGGAAGTGTTGGAAGGTGGGCTTCGCTCGGCTTATTTTTCCGCCGTCGTTGCGGTTACGGTGCCCTGGGGGTTCGGGAGAAGGTGGGCCAATGCTAGGCCGGCCCCGGGACGCAGTTCCGCGGCCCGGCGCGAAGGAGTTAAGCGGCGGGCCGGTGACGTCACCTCATTTACATAGAAGCGTCTATATAAAGGCGCGTGCCGCGCCCCATTCGGCATTCGGCAGCAGTCTCTGCGTAGACCGTTCTTCGATCTTCGCGCGCTTCGCTCCGGTGAGCCCCAGGGCCCCTGCCTCTTGCCCTCCTGTCCCCTGCCCACCCCGCGCCAGCACTGGCCTCTCGGCGCCTGCATCCCTATTAAGGAACCCCTAAAGCCGAGCCCGGGCGGTTCTCCCGGGAAAGCCTGTCAGGTGACGTAGAGCATACCAGCCTTCCCAGTGCTAGGTAACAGGGTCGGGGACTGGGTGAGTTAGAAACAAAACGTACGTTTTGCTGTGCAGTTTCTAGGGCTCCCCCACCCCGCCACCGCCAAAAGCATTCCACATTGCCTCTTAGGCGGTAATTAGCCAGGAACAAAAAGATCCTTTGTTCCAGCGCACCCACCCAAGCTCGTAGTTTTTCAACAATGACATTTTTCCTGGAGCCTCTGATGGCTTCGTGGGGTGTATCTGTCCGTGTTTAAGGTGGCTGGGCGATACTGTGAAATTAAAAAGCCGTTCTTGCAAGGAGATGTGCGCAGAGGCTGCAGAGCCGCATGCAGATTGCGGTTCATTTACGGGGCGTGGGCAGCTTTTTGTGCGCCGCTGGCGCATTGTTGCGCGCGGGCGATGGAGCGGGTGGGGCGGTGGTCGGAGGCGCCGGCTGCGGCTCCCGCCTTTGTGAGCCGGAAAGAGCAGCGTGGCCCGCATCGCTGCAGGAGAGACCCCGGCTGGGAAAGGGAACGTTTTTGCAGCCTCGGCATCATTTGCAGAATACTTGCTCGAATTATTGCCGGTAAACTTGAAATGGCGTCACTGATGTCCTTCTAGCCAGATTTTAATCTTTAAACACTCCAGTTAACAGCCCACGGTAGTCAGATTCATGATTCCGAAGGGTTCGGTCGCTTCCGGGGAGAGCAATCCAGTTTTAGTTCCTCGCGTTATGAAATCCTGAAGGGGATTCTTTTTTCTGTAGAAAGAGGAAGCTCTTTCCGCCCTAAAGGAGAACGGAAGGAGGTAGGGGCGGGGTTTCAAGCTAGAGAAGGGAGAGCTGGAGCGCATTTCTGAGCCGACAGAGACGAAGGTGGGTGGCTAAGCTCCCTCTCACCCTCCCTTTTGGCTTTGTGTCTGCAGCATCCTCTGCAACCATGTCTGACAAACCCGATATGGCTGAGATTGAGAAATTCGATAAGTCGAAATTGAAGAAGACAGAAACGCAAGAGAAAAATCCACTGCCTTCAAAAGAAAGTAAGCGACGCCCCCCCCCCCCACTTCTAGAGAAAAGGCTGGGCGGGAGTGGGGTGGTGGGGGAGGGGTTGTGGGGAAGAGTGCTGGAGGAGCCGACTGTTTGTGACGAATGTGGCCTGGAAAGGCTAATTAAAAATTTGCTTTGCAGCCAACAAACACAGGGCTTTAATAATTCAACAATGGCATGCGGAATATACCACATTAAATGCAAATGTTTTATCTGTTACAATGTTATATTTAATACAGGGATTGCATAATGGCATGCTTATTGATATTTGTAGAATTTTTGATAATAGAAAGATGTTCTCAAGGAAAGTAGTAATGATTTTCTAGGCTATATTGAACCTGCATAATCCGCCCCCTCCATCTTTCTTTTTGTCTTTCCTGGCCACAGCGATCGAACAGGAGAAGCAAGCAGGCGAATCGTAATGAGCCGTGCGCCGCCAATATGCACTGTACATTCCACAAGCATTGCCTTCTTATTTTACTTTTTAGCTGTTTAACTTTGTAAGATGCAAAGAGGTTGGATTGAGTTTAAATGACTGTGCTGCCCCTTTTTACATCAAAGAATTGAGAACTACTGACAATGAAGGCCGCTCCTGCCTCTCCCATCTGCCTGGCTGGCTGGCAGGGAAGGAAAAGAAATTGCATGTTGGTGAAGGAAGAAGCTGGGTGGGAACGGGACGACAGTGAAATGTAGAGTAAAAACCAAGCTGGTCCAAGGTGTCCTGCAGGCTGTAAAATGCAGTTTAATCAGAGTGCCATTTTTTTTGTTCAAATAATTTTAATTATTGGAATGCACAATTTTTTTAATATGCAAATAAAAAGTTTTAAAACGTGACTGGTGTGACTGTTTCCTATTTGGAAGAGGCGGCTTATTGGCAAACGAAACCTTTGCAGAAGTTTCACTGGGGAGTGATAAATGATAAACGTCTGGTAGTTTGGGTAACTTTTCTACTGATGTAGAAATGTGATAAGCCCAGGTATGTGAAATACTCATCTGTACTAGGTAATTGGGTTATTTTCCTAGGCTGATTGAATTCCTTGTATGAGTTGTATGAAAACCAGTAAAAAATATATTAGCAGTTCTACAGGGTTTGATAAGCCAGCAAGCACTATTGCATCTGATAAAGAAAATGAAGGTGGTGATAATTCAGTACAGTATTTGATTCAGGTGTCAAACTGAACTTGGGTTATTTGGCCAATTACCAGCACTGACACAACTTAAGCATTCTTAGCAGATAAGGAAAAATAACAGCTTTGTAAAAGAACTGGAGGCGTGCTTGCTTCAGTGTTGCCTAATGGCTGGTTCCAATAGTCAATTACTTAAAATTACTTTTATAAAACCGTTAAGTGCACTTACAATTAGTGGATGTGATTTAAAAATTACTAAATCCTCAATTTGAAAAAAAAAAAGTACTTAAAGGGCATTAACAGGACAAGGATGAAATTTGTGCCAAGATTAAGTCCAGTAGGATTTAATTGGCTCCTCTGGGCTTGTCTGGTCCCTGATAGCTTCTCAGTTTTTTGAAGTACCTATTTTGACTGGTGGGTAAAAAAGCCAAGCCCTTGTTTTGGGGTATTTAAAGTGCAGAGAGGGAAGTAAGGTATCAGTTTTTCTAAAGTAAAGAAATTCCTCCCTTTTGTAAGGTTGCAAGTATTTTTTCAAAAGCAAGAGGATCAATTCAAGTGGAGCAGCACTTAAGAGCACTAGTTTACCTGGTATTAGATGGGATTGCCAATGCAGGTATCCAAGAAGTGAAACTTCCCCCCCCAAAACTGGTAAGATTATGAAATACCCTTTTGAAGGCGGGGGGGGGAGGGCAATTGTTGATCATTAAACCAGTTGATTTCATTTCCTTTGCTCAACACTTATTTTGAGAAATGCACAGGAAACCATTTACCTGTGGTTTAGATAACCAGACCATCAGCTAGAAGCCTTTATGTGCTTTGCAAAGGGAGGGGTGTGGATCCTCCGCGGCTGCAAAGCCTGAGGTGCCCCACTGCGCCCCATGGACAGAAAAGGCAGCAGAGGTCTGGGAGTCTTGTCAAGGTGATGCAGGGCCCTCCAGCCCTGCGTTTTCTTTTCCTTCCTGCAAGGAAGGGGGTGGCAAATGAAAATGCCCAAGGCAGGAAGAAAAACCAAGCCGGTGAAGTTTTTTGCAGAGTGTATTTTTCAAACAAGGCAATGAAGTCAGATTTTAAGAAATTAACTCCAGTGTCCCTCAGTTTAAAAATGAGCATCAGGGGGACAGGGATAATTTAATGAAATCAAGAGAAGACCTTTCTCTTCTGGGAGGACAAGGTTAAAACGCAGCAAAAAAAGAAAAAACTTAGTAACGGTTGACTTTCGGCTGTTTGGTGTGTAGGATGGGGGTCGGAAGCTGGGGCTATTAAGTGCGCACGCGAGAACGGGGCTGGGAGGGGCTCCCTCTTTTATTTTGATGGGGAAGATTATAATTTCTTCCCAAGAGAGAATCCTCCCGGAAGGGCTGGGGATATTTACGAATCAGTGTGGGAATTTATACTCCTGCTCTTTAGGCGCTTGGAGTGGACAGTCCTTTTCACAGCCGCGAAGGGGCCTGACGGTCACCTGGAGGCTTGACGGGCCCAGTCGGAGACCCCAAGCCCCGCCCCTTTGACCCCTCCCCTGCCCCGCAGGAAACAGGCCCGGGGAGCTCTCACTTGGAAGAGCCCAAAGGACCCACCGTCCTGTCTGGGACTTCTGCAAATGTTGAACTGATCAAGACGAATAAAACAAAAATGAAGGAAGTAAAAAGAGGCGCACCGAAGGGCTCTCAGGACAGAGTCGTTTTCATTTCGAAGTCTCATTCCTCAACCATCGCAGCCACATTTTCCAGCCTTCCAATGGACAGAATTTTAAAGCTGCTTAATTTTTTCAGGGGAGCACCTTAGTTTGTGGGCTGTGTCTGCAAGGATTGAGCGGCTGGCTGGGAGCTGCGGGGAGGCAATGCAGTCGAACAGGCGCCTCTCCCTGTGCAGGGCCTCTGGGGAGTTACATATTGTCCCTTTGAAATGCACTAGGAAGATCTATTTATTTCCATAAAGAGGCATCTGACTCCTCAAGACACAAAGATTAAATAATTTCCTATTCTTTCTAAACAAAAATTTCCTATTCTTTCCAAACGTATGGGGCAAATTTGGGGCTTACTAGAAAGAACAGTCCATTTGGGAAACAACATTACGGCCAAAAAAAAAAAAAATCTTGAGCCTTATCTTTGTTCAAAATGTAAACTGAAAATATTGTTTCATAACACTGAAGCTCCCAACATATTTATCCTCAGTAGTCTTCAGTGGCCTAGCAACAGAATAAGAAAAATACCCTCTCCAGCACTTCCCCGCCCTCCCATAGCACCAGTTTTTCACTTTTAAGAGTGGCTTACTTATGCAATCTAAAAGAATTAAACATGCCAATTCGAAGTTCAACTATATTTGATTTGCATGATGAGAAGGGACTAAATTACAAATTTAAGACATAGGTGTCCTATGAAGTAAGCTAGGAGGAAAATATATTTCTAATATCTATTTTTACCTGGCTTGTTTTTTCCTGGGATACTTGAATAGCCTTTTCTCTCTCTGGTCACATTGTCCTGCTAATACTGTCTCTACGCTTGGCTTCAGAGACTTGGGTGGGCAGGGTCTGTGCACTCTACGTTCATACTTGTGTATTTTCCCTTCGATTTCCAAGAGTGACTGACATGTACTAGGACTTCAATATGCACTTTGCCCCCTTAACTGATGGAGGCTTCATTTAACATGCTGGCGTTGGGGTTCCTTTGCATCCGTGAATGTCTTGCTAGATAGCACACTTTTAAACGGGGGCAGTTTCCTCCCTACTTAGTGCAAATACCCACCTAAATGTAACCAAAGGAAATTCACAGATAATGTGGAGTCTCCACTTGTAAAATTTAAGAAGTAATTAACAAATATATTTAAAGAGCTTTGAACACTAATTTGCCAGTGTCCTTGGTTGTGCTGATTTTGAATCAACACTTAAAGCGAACATGTTTCTACGCCAGAGCTCTGGGTCATTAGCTTACTCCACCAATATTTATGGACTGCCTAGTATGTGCTAGGTAGTTCATTTGCTACACAGACAGTCATGAATAAGATGTCAAGAAATTACTCCATTCCATTTTTAGGATGAATGATGTACCTAAGGGCTTTGGATTGTTAAGTGAGTGTTAAGACCTAATTGCTTTAGTGAGGACTTTTTCTCACTGGTATGTATAATGATGGTGAGTGACATTTGATGGGAACCAGCTGATCCTTTGCATCACAAATATTTTATCAGCAGAGAAAGATTGGGCATAATAAGTCTTGCTTGTTACCTTTTGATAATCTTTTATGAGGAATGCCCAAGAGTTAGGAATGGACCGAATGGGTATACTTTAAAGTCTTTTTCTAGGATTTTATGATTTAGATGCTGAATTTCCAGAGAAACACTACTTACTGTTAAATCCTTACCTTTCCACTGTCAGCCTTCTTTCTCCAGTTCAGCTGGCAGATTGCTGGGGACAGAAACGGCCACTTGGATTTTGAAATCCCTCAGAGAACGTAGCAAAATGACGACCACCTAAAGGTATTCACGAGCATAGCACCTCAATGCCTGACAGCGGTGTCACATTTGTTTTGTACGATTCTACAGCTTGGAGCTTCAACAGAGAGGGCCAAGTTATGTTCATGATCTATTCAAAGCATTTGGAGCTATTCCTGTCCAGTTATTGTCAAACCACAGGAAATTATGCCTTTCCTCATTACCGCACAGACCCCTGTAAGAGGCTGATACCCTTTGGCTACAAAAAGCACTTTGTAATAGTGTTTTCCCCATCCAGAAACAAAATATTTCATAAGATTAAATACACACACACATGCACATATGTATCTCAAGTGTCATCTAGATTTTTCAACCTAAAGTAATGGCTTGCATGGAGGATGGAAAGAACCATTCTTTATTTACTCAACAAACATTTACTGAGCAATTCCTATATGCGCAGCTCTTTCCCAGTTGCCGGGAATAGAAGATGCCAGGCCTGACAGGAGGGCAGATCCGTGTGAGTGGATAGCCATATATAGCAGGCAGCATACATCTGGTTGGTTACCCAACTGCTATTCCCCAAGCTTCTACCTTTGCCAGGTAAGACATAGCATGGAAGATCAACTGAAACTAGATAAAGGGCCCTTAAGGCTGGCTAAGGGGGTTGAAAATTACCCTTGGGCAATTGGGAAATATCAGAAGTAAAACCATTTGGCCCACATGAGATAGCCTGTGGACTTCCTGTACTGAGATAGAGCTATTTGGAGGACAGGGCAAAGAAGAAACTGTCCATCCTTGTCATGGAAAAAGCAGATTATCAGTGTGATATTAACCTAGTATGAGAAGGTAATAAATCATATATTATTGGTATTTCTTAGCCTACATTTCAGTAAGGCTGTAACACTCATGCATTATAAACACTTTTTATGTTCATTTGCTACCAGTTTTTATGCTGGTGTGGACAGAGGGTTAATATATTTGAAATGGTTAAAATAACATCTTTTGGGTGGGATCTCTGAGGTTTGCAGGGCCTTATCCTATGGTTTGCACATTAACAGCTGGTCTTCAACCACATATTAGTTTCCCCAGGCTGCTGTCACGAAGTGCCACAAATCACATGGCTTAAAACAACAAAAATTCATTCTCCCACAGTTCCAGAGGCCAGAAGTCCAACCTCAGGGTATCAACAGACCACATTCCTTCCAAGGGCTCTAGGGGAGGGAGCTCTCCTTGCCTTTTCTGGCTTCTGTTGGCTCCAGGAATTGCTTGGCTTGTGGCTGCATAGTTCCAACGTCCATTTTGGTCCTCATGTGGCTTCTCCTCTGTCTCTGTGTCTTCTGCCTTTTCTAGGGACACTTGTCATCGGATTTAGGGCCCACCTGGGAAATCTTTAACTACATCTGCAAAGACCCCTTTTCCAAATAAGTTCACATTCACAAGTTCCAGGGATTTGACATGGACAGAGCTTATGGTGGGGCGGGGGCGGGGCACCATTCAGCCCACCAACAGGTCTTCTAAGAGGCACGGCAGCTTGATGGTTGAATTGGTACACTGTTGAGCGACACTGTGGGCATTTCACTGAACATGTGGGGTTGTGGGAGGGGAGAAGAGAATTGCAATTTTTTCATATTAGTCAGAAAATTTACTCCATGATATAAAGATTAATATGGAGAAACTTACAGGAACTTCGAATGAGTGGAGACAAGAGGGCATAGAACAGAAGGAACATTAAAGGTTTGAGATGGGGTATGTGTCTATTGTGGTCACTGAGATGAATAACACGGGTGGTCATAGAAGAAAACAATCATACTGGTACAGTAATTCGAAATATCCTCAAGGTGAGTGAAAAATACCATTTGGGAAAACAAGTATATATATATATATATATATATATATATACTATTAAAAGTAGTTGGTGAGGCCAGTGTCAAAAATTAAGAAGGAAATAACAGAAAAAAATAGTGACTAGATGGTCACTGTTATAATAGAAAGTGGATTATTTAAAGAAAGGATTGTAATATATAACCCTGAACTTGTCATTTCAATAAGTATTATTAATGAGCTAGGAAGATGAGAGCACCATGCATTCATAGGTCCAAACGAGTTCTTCAAGCCACACATAGATGCCTGAGGTATTTCTCTAAGATTCCACTGACTTCTGTTTAAAACCTCCATGTTATAACATGTTATAACAGAGATGCATGAATACCTACATACACCAGGAACAACCAGATTAGCAACTAATATTTGGAACCTTCATCCAATCGGGGCTGCTTTGCTGAAATAGGTCAGAAGTTTCCCAGCAGGAGAGAGAGATACCAAGAAGTAAGTGTATTTAGGTCCTCAGCCCAAGTGTCAAAGAATTAATTCTTCATAGAAATAGGTGAGGTCAGTTGTATCTCAGACATTAAGAACCATCTATCTGCTCACACCGCACCTTTGTCATGTTCCTTAGAAACAGCTGTGGGTTAATTTCTCTCTCCTCCTCTCCTGGAAACCGATGCCTATGTATGTTGACTCTATGCAGGTTCAGAATTTCTTGGATATTTGGCTTGACTGAGTCCAGGTGTGATTGTCCCCCTGCTGCCCTTTTTTTTTTCTACCACCGGTATTTCCAATTAGGGCCTCCTTAGGGTGTGAACAAAACCTGGGAGGGGCGGAGGCTTAGCCGGGAAATGAAGGCAGAGGCTGCGTCTCCAGAACCACCGGCATCCTGTCAGGCTAAGCCGCACTCCCCCTGTCCGCAGTCCCGCCCCGCGCAGAGCGTGGTTTTCCACCTGCAGCCCGTGTCCCCTTATGGTCTCAGACAACCAACTCAGTTGGTTTTTGCCAGCATTTAAAACCAAAATGAAAAAGTGCACCCAGTCAAAACAAATTACTAAAGAGAAACAGAACAGGAATGGCCAGAGTCCTGCATGTAAGGGGGTAGGTACTGTTTCATCAAGCTTCTCGGTTACTGATGTGAGAGAGAGTGTGTATGTGTTTACTGGCTGGGAATGTGAAATGTTTTTCTCAGTGTGGGTCAGAGTCACATTTATCAAGACACCTATTCCCCAGCCTCCTGCCTCCACGTGGCCTCATTTCCTGTCTTTTCTCAGTCTAGCTTCTACTCCTAATCAATCACCCCGCATTGACTTAAAACCCCCTTCTCTCCATGCCCTGCTGAAGTCGTCAGCACACCTCAGTCTTGAATCCACTTTAATAGCCTACGTCTTGCATTCCTTCATCCAGGCTTTCGAGTGCTGACAGAACGATCCACTTCTCCAAGCTGTCCTCACTAAACTTGCCACTTGTTCCTGGTCAGCTCCTGTTAGCTGTGCAACCTTGCATATGCTTGGTGACTTCTCTGAGCTTTGCTTTTCTCATTTGTGAGGTGGGGGAGGGAATGGTCCTAATCTGTGGGCTTGTTGTGCATTATATTCATACACTGTAGGTGTTCATTTGTGGTCACTATTACAATAAGGACATTCTCTTACATAACCACACTCCAGTGATCAAATTCAGGAAATTTAACCTCCATACAATGCTACAATGATCTAATATGAAGTCCACATTTAAATTCTCCAAATGTTCCATTAATGGCTTCTACAGCAGTTTTCTCCCCCCTCCCCAGGGATCCAATCCAGGATCACACACTGCATTTAGCTGTGCATCTTCGATCAGAAACAACCTTTCCGCTGTTCTTTGACTTTCAAGACGTTCATATTTTTGAAGACTATAGACCAGCTGGTTTGTAGAGTTTCAACCTGGGCTGCCTGATGTTTTTTCATGATTGGGATCGGATAACTTTTGATTGGGATACCCGGTAAGGAAATGTGCTCCTCCCGGTGTCTCGCAGAGGAGGCAAGTGGTGTCAGTCTGTCCCATGCATTGACAGTGCCTTTGATGGCTTGTTTATGTGGTTGCCACCAGGTCTCTGCACTATAAAAATAACATTTTCCCCTTTATAATTAATAAGTAACCTGTGGGGAGATTCTTTGAGACTGAAATCTCCTGTTCCTCATCATACTTCCACCAGATGGTTTTGGCCCTTATTGATTCTTGCCTGAATCAATTATTTCTATGATGTCAGCAATAAGGTGAATAACCCTGTTAAATAACCCTGTCCTTCAGTCATTCCTTCTAATGTGACTTGCCATTTTTATGTGTTACACCTTATAAGCATAAACCAATGAATTCAATTTCAAATTTGTATGCTAACAATATTAAAAATAAAAGCAGCCTGTCGGCTTGTTTTTTGAGTAGACTCAGCCCCTCTATAGAGATGCCCTGTTAAAGGAATATTTTCAAAGGCCCTTTGAAGAGATGGCCCAGGCAGGCCTGTGCTCTCATTTCCTCTTTAAAAGGGGGCTTAGGGCTTGTTTGCAACCAACATTTTCATACACTATGGCTGTGATTTTAAAAGAGAATCTAGATGCATGTGTGTAAGTCACACTTACATTCAGTTGAAACTAGATCTTTACTGTTAATTTGGATCAATCACAAATATTATTCATGAAATGGCCGAGAAACTGCTCCTAATTAGTTCTGCATGGCTATAGCAAAGGCTGGAGATGTCCAGGGCTGGTAGGGACAGATCCTTTTCAGCTCCCACACAGACAGGGATGTTTCCATTATAAAGGAAAATGAAACACCACTGAGACAATTGGCCTTCAGCACCTTGGCTTCTGCTACTGCCCCTCAGAGAAGATCATCTGATCTTTCTCTGAGAACCAACAAGTGGCCGCGGAATTTTGAGGTTAACTTCAGTCAGGTGCCTGCACTTTGGCAAGCCTTAAACAAACATCACCTGCTCTACTGGTCAAACAACCCTTCCCTGCAGTGGCAGGAAAGGAATAAAAGGTAGAGAGCTGTTTAAGGATATTTGGCCTTCTTCATTGTCTACCCGGAAAAAATGTCTTCACCAAAGACCGCTGTTTGCTTAGAACCGCTGTGCCCTACCCTGAGTCTGGCCGGCGGTGCTAACCTGGCTGCATCCCCGAACAATAGCTCACCCCCAGAGTCATTTTAAAGACACCCTGGCCTCGTATTTGTTGCGGAAACCAGGGAAAAGTATGATTTCAATGGGGGCACATGCTCACAAGAGGCAGGTACCCATATATAATTATAAATAATAAAAAATTTCTCCTGCTTTTTTGGGCGGATGGGAGCTAGTGGTTGACCTTTGAATGATTAAACATTTGTGAACCCATAATACATTTATATGGTTCAAATATTAAAACAACATGGAAAAAATATTCCCCTTCAACTGGTTTCTCCTGGCTCCCTTTGGGTGACACTTTTTATTAGCTTTTTGTTTAGCCTTCAGCATATATGCAAAAGCAAATTTATATTTATCTTCTGCCTCCTAACACAATTGGCATTTAAATCATCTTTCTAATGTAGTGTTCTTAAACTTTTAAAATTATAAGAATAATGCATATCTCTTTGAAGTAAGTCAAACAATATAGAATGGATTGAATTAGAAAGGAAAAGTTATCCTAACCTCCAACTCACTTTTCAGAGGTAGCCACTCCCAACAGTTTTAGGTGAATTATTCCAGATGTTTCCACATAGTGGTAAATAGTGGCAAGAGCTGCTTATTTAAATTTTCCAAAAATTTGAGAGGTGATTATTAAACACAGCCACTATTAAAAACTAAATTATACAAACTTAGAATGAAATAAATTATATTAAAACAAAAGTAATAAGTGCTCATAACTCATCACTGCCTAATTATTTTACTATGATCTATGCTGTTGGGGTAATAATGTCTTGTACATGTGTGGAAATAGAACAAAGTGCTAGCTACTGGTCATCTCTTCTCTTGGGGACTTTATACCTGTATTGACATTGAATATAAAAGATAATCTATCCAAAAGAACCAAAAATATAAATTAGGGCATGTAAAGATGCAGCTAAAATGTCAACACAATTATTTGTAGTTGGTCTTCTAATAAACTGCATTGTTCAGTGAGGAAAAGGAAAGTTGGCTAATCCTCAGAGATGTGCGAATAGCCTTTCCCTTTTTGCATCCAAACACCCAAGTTGACAAGATCTGCCCTCTGTCATCCTTCAAAGCCTCCCATCTCATTCACCTGTCATTTTTTTAGTTGTCATTCCATCGTCTCCCCTTGTATTGAATTTTCCTGCTTCTCTTTGCTCTCTTTTACTCTGGCTCTACTTCTCTTTCCTGTCCCTTCAGTATTGGTTTGTCCAATGAGCTAACCTTGACCTCACGTTTTCCTCCTCTACAGTCCTCCTTTCCCCAGGGCTTTAGTTTCTCTGACGTGGTGACCCTTTGACTCCCTTGGGCTCCATCTGGCTAGACATCTCCATATGACCATGGCTTAAAGGCATCCTGTTACAAAACTGTGCTCCCAACTTGGCCCATGGTCACTGTTGTTTAAGGCACATGGCAAGTCAACTGCATTTTGTTCCTCTTTACTTCCGTCCATTACTCACCAGTGCCGGGAATCTAATCTGAACGGTCTGTCCTACAAACCTCTAGCTCTGTCCCTGGACTCAGGACTTCTTTGTTCTGTCAGGCTCTTTCTTCCCTACGTGCCCCATCCTCATCCCAGTCATCTTCCAGGGCCCAAGTCACTTGACTCCACCCAGATGTGTCCCTAGATCCTCATGCAGATTAATTCTGCCCTCCCCATACTTCCCACATTCTGCTTGCACTTTCTGTGAAGGCCTAGAGCCCACGCTTTTTGGGAGCAGCATAATTTCCTAAACCTCTCTCCCTCACCAGGTTGGTGGCCCCTGGGCTGGGAGGAAGAACGGATCCTCTGATCCTTGCACGGAGCTCTGTGGAGTATGTGCCTGAGAAATGTAAGTTGAATTGTTTTCTACAGGATTGATGTGCTACATGTAGGAAACTTGCTAATGAAAGGTGTAGGAAAGAGCAATTTTTCTTCATCTCTGGAGTCTCAAACTCATGTCTACAGGTACACGCATGTAGACAGTGGGTCACAAAAATAACCGGAGAGGCCAGAGAGGAGAGGCAGCCCCTTTTGGGCTCCAGCCAATTCCATAAAGAACATGGACCCAGAATTGCCATATCTTCCCGTTTTTCAAGAGAAGGCAGAAATATGGATTTTTAAATGCGTATTTTCCCAAGGTTTAATTATTGGCAATGAATTAAAAGCATTTTAGCCTTTTTTTTGTAAAATTAAAAAAAGGTAAGGCAAACTACCAAAAATTGTACAGTTTAATGCTTTGGCATAAGGAGAACATCCAGCTCTTACAACCATCACCCGGGTCAAGAAACAGAACTCAGCCACCTACCCCCGGAGCCCTACCTGGACCCACCAGATCGATGGCTCCCCTGCTCTTACACTAATGATTTGCTTCTGTTTCCTTATGGTTTTATCATCTCGGTGTACATCCCTACGTGCTATAGTCCTACTAAACACAAGTTTAGTCTCACTCATTTTTTTAAAAATTGTGTCTTTTCATCTACAGCTTCCCCTCCAGCCCTTCCTTTTCCTTACAAGTTTTCTGATGAAGTACCTGGAGTATTTGACTTGTAAAGTTTCCCACAGTCTGGATTTTGCTGATGTTTACTCAATGGTGTAGCTCAATGTGTGGTCTGCTTTTCCTATATTTTGGCTACTAGGTCCAGAACTCATATACATAATTTAATACTGTTTTAAACTGTCAGTATCATTCGTTGGCAGGTCAGCTCTGCACCCTCTACTTTGCTTCATCTGCTTACTTCGTTTCTCTGCTTACTTTACCCTTACTGTGAATAATAAACCAACCTCTTTGCCACTTCCCATATTTAGAAGATGAGTGGTGTATTCTGATCTAACAGAAGCAAAGTGTGCATAATGTTCACATTGTGGACCATAAGCATTAAGTGCAGTGGCTCCTTTGATCCTGTAACATGGGCCTCGTAGGATGCTTCAAGGGGAGAAGAGCAGGCCTCATCCCAGAGACTGATTGGTTTTCTTTTCAGCCAGATGGTTTCTGGGTGGGATTCAGCCAAGACAACAATTTTCCCCTCACCAGATGACAGCGTTTCCTCCAACCATAGCTTTTGAAAACCACATATTGCTTTAAAAGAGAACTCTGGACCACTTCCCACAGGTGGGGGTAACTCTTGCGGCAGGTGTCAAAAGCCAGAGAGTTCTAAAGGCAAGGGCTGGGAGGGTTGGAGGTGTGTGAATACAGCAGAAGGGAGACAGAGCTTGTTCAATAGATGCAACCATATGTAAGGACCTGTGGCTTCCACAGGGGTCAGAGGAAGCGGGGTTGGCAGGGGGCCCCTCAGGACAACAAAGCTCTGGTGAGAACTCGAGGAGGGAAGCTGTAAAGTTCCCTGAAAGAACACAGAAGAAATGAGAACAACAAAACCCAGAAAGAAAAAAAAAGGACTCTAGACAACAGAACCAGACATTCACCTCAATGTCCTGATCAGAAAACATTTTCCCAGTCAGTGAAAGGGGCCTGGTGACCGAAGCTACAGTTTGTGCATCCATGGTGTGCATGTAATGAATTATAATTGTTGAAGCCATTTAATCATTTCAGGTAAAAATGTATCCATAGTGTTAGATTGCTGCCCAAGGAAAACTTCTCGTTATCAAAGATTACGAACTTAAATGCATAAGGCGGAATGTAATGCCCATGGAGTGACGAACTCCTAACCAGGCAGAAATCTGTCTCTAGGTGAGTTGACCCGAATGGCCGCTGCCCTGCGGCGAATTCCCCTCCTGCTAGTTGAGTGGAAACAATGTCCTGAGGCAGGAATGACCGGTTGGAACAGTGGGTAGGTGCTTCTTCCCGCCTAACCCTTTTTCTTCTCCTTTCCATCGTCTTCACTTCTTTTTGCTTGACGCTTTCATTTCTTATCCCACCTCAAGTCCACTGTTAATTAGACAGTGAAATGTCTGATTTCACCTAGATGACTAAGTAAAAGTTTCCTAAAGGAACATAGAGCATATGTCTGGCAATAATTGACTTTCATTAATATGGCTCTCTAATGCTAGACTACTGACTTTCAAAATAAGTTTTCTCTGAATAAAAATTTGCCTGAAAAAAAATGCCACACTTTGGGCATTAAAAGACCACATCGTGGGGGAGGAGACACATCTTCATTACAAAACAATTCTAAATTATGTATATAGATACTCTCCCTGTTTGAGGGGTGGGTGCAGGGATTAATCCCTCCCCCACTGCATGGGGCTGGTTTAGTGACTCACTTCCAAAGAATAGCGAATATACAGGGGACACAAAAGCTACGACATAGCGGAGAAACTTGGCAGGCAGCACCTTAACTGAGTAACGAAGGGAGACATCACCTGTGAGGTCCTGTAAATGTCAGGCACCCTCCGATTCTGACGTGAAGGGTAGCTCACCTCTTTAAAATGCCTCACCCCAGGCTAAGAGAAAAACATCAGGCAAACACAAACCGAGGGAAATTCTACAAAATCTCCGACGGGCACTTCTGCAAATTGTCAAGGTCAAGAAAAAAATACGGCAAGGTGAAGAAACTGCCACAGCCCAGAGAAGGCTGAGGAGATGCAAGATCAAATGCAATGTGTGTCCTGGATGGAATTCTGGAGCAGAAAGAGGCTATTTAATGGAAAAACTGGTGAAACTGGGATTAGTTAATAGTGATGGACCATTGATGGTTTCTCAGTTGTGACCGATGCACTATGGTGATAAAAGATGTTAACGATGGGGGACATTGGGTGAGCGGTACATGGGAACTTTGTCCTATTTCTGGAACTTTTCTGTAAATATGAAATTATTGCTGTAAAAATTTTTAAAGAAATTAAAAGCTACAAAAGAGGACATCTTTTAATTGGATACCAAGTATTCAGCGTAGTTTTGTTTTAATAGTTCACTATCCTGTTGTTATAACGTACAGTTAACATAACAAAGACCTGCCTTGTATTTGCAGGGCAGGCTGTTTAGTATATACAGAAGCTAAAGGCAAGGCCGTGGGTTTGACAAGAGCTTGTTAATTCTGTTTGAGCAGTAGCCACAGCTCCTGCCCTGGCTTTGTCTGGAGAGATCTCATGCAAATGTGCACTGTGGGTCCCCCAGAAAATCATCGAAAATGCACGGAAATTAGCCTGCGGTGCTGTCTTTGCATATGAAGATCTGCTTGATTATAATTAAAACTTCCATTTGACTATTAAAATTAAAGAACAGCTATAAATTAAGGTAACAATATTAAAAACCTCGGGGGACACGTCTAAAAATCCTCTAATTAGAGAGCTACAAATTTTGGGAACACTAATTCTTGCCCGGCATCAAGGTCTCGTTTTGTATGGAAGCTGGTATTTTGTAAATCACAGCTCCTCCAGGGCTGAGGACAAATTTTGGTTCTTGTCTAGGGTTATTGCCTGAAATATGTTGTCCTTTATGAGCTAGACTACAAGTTAGAGGACTGATTTCTTATCCTGACTGGATACGTGAGAATCTGGGGGGTCTTGGGCATGGCACGACCTTCCTAGATTAGAGTTTCCATAGCTCTATAGTTGGCTGCTGGGTTATAAACCTTATCTGAGTCCTCTAGTTCAGAAAGTTTGGAGTTTTTATTGTAATAATGAGAGTCATGCCCCCTAGCACAAGCTCTCCTTAAAACACAGAAGGCATCAGCTCCCTTTGAATGGTGGGTTTGGTTATTAATGGTTTGTATATTCTTCTGGGCACTGGCCTGTATTCTCCGTGCGTGTGCGTGTGCAGAGTCATGTATCACTTTAAGATCATGAAAAATAAAATAGCTGCATTTGAAAACACAGTAAGGACATACACTAACAGATTTTTCGTTAAGGCTAACTGACTTTACGTTAATTTACTGAGTTAAACTATTGTGCTCAGGGGGACCTTAATCCTTCACTTTAAGGAGAATCTTGCCAGGACAATCAGAAAACTGAACTTGGCCTTCGGTCTATTCCCTGTCATTTTCCACTTGCCAGTCTTAATATTTGTACTCTCTATAGATCTTACTCCTCAGTTTTTATCTCTCTCTTTTTTTCCACTGGATTAAAACAAGCAATGAACTTTAAAAAGAACATTCCTCATGGTAGATATCTCCAGAGAGCTTGTATTTACTTTGAACTGAATTCTGGCTGACCACCCAAGTGGATACCCCTGATTTTTTTAAAATTACCATTAACATATTACACTGCAGTGGATACAATGATATAAAAACTGTGTAGTCGAGCAAAGCTCTGACAGCCCAGCAGGACAACACAAAACCATGAGAAGGTTTTTTCCTAATTCATACTTTTCTCTCCCTTCCTCCCTTCCTTCCTTTCCTCTTTCTTTTGAAGTTTGCAGAAGGCAAAATTACAGATATAGTAATTTGGTTCCTAAGAACCTGGACTTTGGAAAATGGGATTGTCACTTGCCATGTTTCCCATTGGCTAAGGAGATGCTTTTTCTAAGAATACGCAAACACTGTAATCTAGTCTTCTACATCTCCTAAAGTCCTATTTGTTTGTTTTATAACAATGCCAACATGACGTCGCAGTCAGCTGTATCTGAGACTAAAACTGTATGCTATGTGTTCAAAGCAATGAGTGAGGCATGGAAAAATTGGACATTTGACTTTGCCCACGATTATCTTAAGTTGACAGAGATTTGAATATGGCTGGGTCACTTCTGGTTTGATTATCTTGGCTGATTGCCACCAATCACATCTAAGGATTCTGCTACCACATGGCCCATTGTTCATAATATTGGTATGTGTCTGTCAAATAGTGTGAAGGACTCTGGTAATTTTAACCCATTGCTTGGGTCTTCAGTTGTAAGAATAACAAGGTACATCTCAGTTTACTGAATTTATTGTGCAGAATGACATGCTTATACAGAACCAGTTTCCTTAGCAAAAGTAAAATCAATCTCTTCTTTGAAGATCTGCCGTAATTTGTGAACCTGACTACTAAAGGGTATCTTTGCTAATTTAATACATATCTATATGCCTGTTGCTACTTTTTTGTCTGTTTTCATTCTAAAGGGAGAAAAATCTTTTACAATAATTATATCATGAACTCTGATGGTTTCTCTCTACAAATGGAGAGTCAATAAACTGGCTGAGGGCCAAATACGGTCAGTTACTTGTTTTTCTACAGTCTGAGCACTAAGATTGATGTTTACATTTGTAAATGACTGGAAAACAAATCAAAAGAATACTATTTCTTGGCATGTAAAAATTATATGAAATTCTAATCTTGGTGTCTATGAAGTTGGCTCTCGTTCCTTTGTGGTTTCTGTATGATTGCGTTCAGGTTCCATGGTGCAACTGGGTAATAGCGAAGGCCTGCAAAGCAGAAAATATTTACTGTGTGGCTCACTGCAGAAAAAGTTTGCTACCCCCCGGCATAGACACAGCTATTTTCAGAAGAAGAGCTGAGGCACGGCATGAAATGTGCAGGCAGAAAAAATTTACCACAATGAACTGGCATGGAATGTAAACCAAACGGCTCTCGTGGTATAATTTCTAAGAAAGCATCTTGCATAAACAGGGAAAATGAAAACCTGGAGATTAAAGTAAAAAAACAAAAATTGAACCCCTGCATTTTGTAGAGTGGGTAAGTTTGGAGAATAGAGCACAAAGACTGAAGGCCTATTTTACCTGTTGCCAAAATGTGCGCTTTGGGGACTGGGCTGAGTCCCTGAAAGTACAGGTATGCAGCCCTAGGCACTTGCTAGCCCTAGCTGATCCACTGACGGATGAGGGACACCCAGCTTTGATTCCGGTCTGAACAGGCAGTGATGAGGGGGGCCTTTGAATGGCTAGGGTCTCGAGGCAAACCTACTTCGGGGGTCCCATGAAAAGGCTGAGTATGAATGGCTCCCTAGAAGCACTACTGTCGGGTTCTCATGCCTATTCCTTTTATTTTGGACATAGGTTAGTCCATTTGGGAGGGGCTAACTCAGTTTCAATACTTGCTGTAAACTCTACAGCGGGGAAGAGGACTGTCAGCGGTAGAGGAGGGACGTGGCTGGGATGGTGGTTCTCTGTAATCTCTAGTTTTGTGCTTATGTGTGCATCTAATGTTTTATTTTGGGGTAATCCTTTGGTATAGTAGCTCATGTATGTAATGTATGAATATGTAATGTTTTAACGTATTTGTGTGCTCAAGCTTGGTGGTGGTTTTGTGTTACTAGGTAGCTTGCATACTTTTGGCTTAATTTTCTGTTGTTACATAATAAATCACAAATTTAGTCACTTAAAACAACGTATCTCACAGTTTTCATCCATTAGGAGTCTGGGAATGGCTTAGCTATACCCGTGGCTGAGTCTCATAAGGCTGCAATCAAGGTGTCATCTGGGGCTGGGTCCTCATCTGGAAGCTCAGGGCCCTTTCCAAGCTCAACTGGTTGTTGGCAGAACTATTTTCCTTGAAGCTGTAGGACACATGGCAGTTTACTTCTGCAAGGTCTTTAGGAGAGAGTATCTAGGACTCAAAGGAGGCCTACACTCTCTTTTAAAGGATGTCCAGAGGATGAAATCAGGCCATCCATCCAGGATAATCTCCCTTTTGATTAAAGTCAACTGATTTGGGACCTTAATTACATTTGCAAAATCTCTACTTTGCTATAGGATGTAACTTAATCAAGGGATGATAGATTCTAGCACCTTTTCATATAACATAACCTAATCATGGCCTAACACCAGGGGGCTGACATCACAGGCACCATCTTGGAGCTTTGGCTATTACAGAGTGGGCAAGAAAACCATAGCTCCACGAGGCAGAGGGAGCCGACATTGAAGCTTAGGCCTCCCACACGTGAGCTGTGTGACTGCACCGAGTAATTTCACTTCTCCATGTCTGAGTGCTTTTGGCTGAAAACTGGAGATGTCCTAGCATCATTTTGGCATTCTAGCATGTATCACTTTTGGCTGGTGCCAGAATTAAATAAGGTAATATGTAGAAAGTGTCTAGCACAGGGTGTCTAGCAAACATTGAGTGGTGAATAGGTGTCACATATTTTCATGAGATACTCATTTTCATGCATACAGACATTGTATTCATATAACAAAAATAATATTGGGCCTCACCAGAATGTGCATCTCTGGATCTCCAAGAAAGTGAGACAAGAGGAGGGAAATGAGGAATGAAAATTAATCTGGTTTATGACAGAAGGGGCTTGCTCCGGTGGTGATGAAGAACAGGCTTGGTCAGTACGTGGCACTTTGACACAAAGCGAGACATGGTATGTGAAACCCCCTCACCTGGTAAACAGTCAAATTTAAGTCTGGTCAGAAGTACATGCTTAATAATTGTTAGTGGATTAATTGATATGATTATCTTCTTTTTAAAGTCTAATCACTTGCTTAACCAAATTACTTCTGTCCCTTTAGTTACCTGCAGAACTATTCGAACACGGCAAACATTTAATTTGCCAGGAGGCCCCTCCCTTCTTCCTGGATCTAAGGTAAGGTCTGTTAATATGAAACCGATAGAGAAAGTCAAAGTGCAAGAACATTGGCCAAAGGTCTTGATGAAGCATTGTGTAGCAGATGGAGAAATACAAATATGGAACCCAGGCCCTGTAGTTTCTGTACTGAAAAACAGCTCACAGCCACTTCCTGGTTTCAAGAGAAAAGCCTGCACTCAGCTCTTCCTCTGGGAAGGGGAGGAGGAAAAAGCAAACACAGAAACCCCAAACCACGAAAGGCCCCGCTGCCCATCACTGTAAATTTGCTTCTGTCCTTGGAAAGAAAAAGAGTTTCTCCTGGTTAGAGACTTCCTGATGCACAGAAATGCCCAGGCCCCAAGCTGCCTGTGCTCACACAATGGGCAGACAGAGAGGCACACAGTGCAGGCTTTTGTCGTCTCATGGTGGTGTCATCTCAGGCCCCGGCATGGCTTCTGGCCTGGGCCTGGGGAGAGGGCATGCTGGCTGGCTGAGGAGCCCACTTCAGAGTGGCCAGTGTGGCTGTGGGCGGCTGGGAGTCTTGGAGAGGAAAATTCCTGGGGGTAGGGGCTGTGTGTGCTGTGGCTGCCCTGGGATTCCTGACAAGGCTAGTGCTTTGGGCTCCCGCAGCTCCTACCAGCCCGAGTCAGAGAGCTCACGGAGCCCACGGTTCATGGTAAAGAGCAGATGGACGGGGGAGAACACCCAGTGCCGTTCTGGGCCTCCTGGTCAAGCGTAGGCAAACCAGGAAGTGGCAGATCCAGGTCTTGCTAAACTGCTCATAAGACAGGAATTGTTTTGGAGGGGAGTAGGAAAAAAGGGACCGTGGGGCTGTTAGATCATTTTTTACTCTCTTAGGAATCACTGTAATCTTACTATTTTTATCGTTAACTAATCAGAGGAAAACAGAATAAGGGAGACAACCATCCCAAAGTTTCAGAATGTCCAGGTGTTAGACATTGTGGAAATATACATAGGCACACATTGTCTGGGCCCTGCGCAGCCTCACTTTCTATCCTTTTTATTTATTTGTTTTTATGTATTTATTTGGAGGGGGTGGATTGGGTGGGCTGTGAACAGACTTCATTCATTCAACACACACTTGTGAAGCCTCTACTGTGTGTGAGGCCCTGTGAAGGACACCGTGATGGTGCACACAGGGACTCTGGCCTAAAGGTATTACCGTCCCATCCCAGGGACTATACATCTTGGAACAAGCATTGTTCAAAGCTGTATTGACATTCATACACCTCACTTGTCTTTGGGAAAAAGTGCTCCAAAACTGCAAGGGGCTGCCTAATTTTAGAAGAGAACATGAGTGAGATTGAATTGACTGGTAATTCAATAAATGTGGTTAACTAGATTTCCAGTTCACCAACAGCCAAATACAGGCTTCTAAAAGGAGTAAGTCGGCTCGCTGACCTGTGTGCATCTCCTCCGGGTCTACAGGAAGCGAACGCTCCCAGTCCCACTGCTATTGGCTGCTGCTGTCCAGCTGCAAGCAGCCAGTCCCACGCGGTTGTCATCTCTGGCACACGTGTCTGGTTTCACCTGCATGCTTCCTGCAGGGCGCTCTGCTCACTCAACATCCATAGCTGTATTTGTTCCCATTCAACCCATCTCTCTCTTAGTCACCACTGGCAAAACAGGATATGATAACTTTATTATTGTCTGAGGCTCAGGTTTTATCTTGTTATGTTTATCTCGTTAAAAGCTAGGAGGCCATTGCATTTCTCGAGAGGACAGAAGTAGTGGATGCGATGAGGAGTTCATATAGCCAATGGGTATTGCAAATTATACTAAGAAAATCTGAGAGCGAATATTTTGTTATCAGCTTCTCAAATTTCATGAGTGCTATCTTATGACTGTTAGCTACACGTTTGTGGCATTTTTCTTAAGGTAACAGCCAATCTAATATATAGATTATTTGCACCACCTATAGCACTGTTGCTAAGAAGAATGCTCCATGTGGGCGCTGATGGAATTTTAGTCTTTATTTCTGAGCTGTTGGAGCCGTTTAAGCAGCTGACATATGAATAGACGCCTTAAAGCACATTTGAATACCTTACAGAGAGGTATGATTTAACCAAGGCTGTACTGTCTTTCTGGCTCTGAGAGTCCCTGGAATGTTGGGGAAAGGATGATACATCAAAATTCTATGTTATTTAAATGTGTTTTTTTTTTTATGAGAGTCATAATAAACTGTGCCTCTCTGTGCTATTTGAAGATATGTCATGTGGCAGGTCTCGCTAGACAAAGGCAGCCAGGAAGTGACTCTACTCCCCCGGCGACAGCATTTTCAAACTGCTCTTTTTTTGCTCGGTAAAGGTTAGAGAGGAAGTGAAACCTTTTGTACTTTTCTGCACTGCTGTTTTTCCAGACAGAGCAGAAACGCCTGCCCATACGTTCTTCTAAGGCTTTGCTAAGAAAGGGTTGAAAAGAGCAGGCAAGAAGTGTTACCTGTTTTGCTGTCTTAGGCTATGAAATGAAAACGAAAAAAATAGCATTGAACTTGGTGTCTGAAACTGCAGTACTGTTGTTGCAGTGATGACCGGCTCCCGAAGCCCACAGTGCTCTAGAAGCATGAGCCCGTCTCAGGAGCCAACTCGGTCGTTTCTCCAGAATGAAAATGACTGGGGCCCCGGGGTGTTTCCTCTTCCCGACATTTACAGCAAGCAGCAAGCTGGGCAGAAACACATGCAAATAAAAATCAAGAGCCCCAGAGTGTAACCGAATCACTTCCAGACAGACTGATAATGAACTTCAAGCCTTCAGCTCAAATATCACTGGTTTAAATCCATTTGTTCTTGCTCTTTAATAGAATACGAGGTTAAACACACAAACTTACATTATTAGAATGCTCTCTGTGCTGATACTGTCATGTGATTTTTTTAAAGACAACATAGAGTGATTTAAAGAATCTAGCATTTATATCTCAATAAAGCTGGTGAAAAAATCTAGCATAGATGGAGAAAACACAAAATGCTTTAGGGTTTCTTTTCCCTGATTTTGAACGGTTTTTTCCCCCCTTCATGTGCTGCCTTGAAGAGCTAAAACTTGAAGCTGGGTGTGAGCGCTGAGAGAGAGGAAAGGAGCATTTTATTTACCTTTGTGTCTCCGGCAACCAGAAATGGTGGTGGTTGCGTTTGTTGAATGCAACACTCTTCAGCTAGTTGCACTGCTATTCTTCTAAGTGATCTAATCCATGCTTCCAATTCATCTATGTAGGATGATGTTAGACTTGAGTCACAAGCCTCTGGGTCACAGTAGTAAGCCTTGATTACATTAAAGAGAAGTTCAGAAGATTGTGTATCTCTGAAGTCATCCTTTGCCTTTTTTTCCATGTGTCAGGAGATTTATTGAGAAAATCTGCCTCCAGCTCTCATGGTGGTTTGGCAGCCCTAGTTCTATCCCATTTCCTATTAATCATTCAATCATTTGCATTTATATGGCCTATTATAGTTAATATTTCAAAGAACCTTGTAAAATGTGAGGATTAATTAGCTAAGCTGTGCTTCTCTGTCTCTGAGATGGTTAAGGACAATGTTTTGCTCATTTCAGAACTGGGAAATTAAGGCCCCAAAGTTGGAGAGGTATTTCTCTTTCCCAATTCTGCATATATATGAAGTGTATGAATAAATAGAGTAAAAAAGAAATTCAGAATTTTTTTTATTAGGTTGGAAACAAAAACACTTTTCAGAGATTTTGATGATTCCTCCTTCAAACCTTAGCTTAGTCACACCTTCTGCTAACTAAACCACCATTCTAAGACCAATAGTACCATCTGCCTTTGTGATCGGGGGAAACCATCAAGACATTAGCTAAAGAATTAAAATCTTCCCTTTCAAGGACTTTCATGATCTTTCTACTCTATGAAAATCCCTTCCTCTCTCTCTCCTTGTCTGAATTTCCCATTTATAGTGCTATATCAAGGGTTCTAAACTTATAAAAAAGGCAACCCCTTTTTTGCACCCCAAATTTTAATTTTTGTCCCAGAAGACACTATAATGATTTGTTTAGAATTTTGAAATTGATTGAAAAAGAAGACTCTTCTAGCTAAGGAATTGCATTGATTGGTTGGGAAAATACATGATTGATATTGAATCTCTTGGTCCCTGTTATAACTCTGTGCCCCCCCCACCCCCCAGTAAAGCATCTCTGGTTGTTTTCACTCAGCCATTTGAGTGTTCCCTTGCCTTGTTTTCTAATTGCTTCACATTTCCTTTGGAAACATGGGAATCTGGCCATCTTTTTACCTATCACAAGGCTGGCTACATAGTATGGCTTCAGCCACTAGCTGTTCGCACATTGCTTGACCCATTTTCTCTATTCTCTGTTGCCCAGGAAGAGACCCTGCACTGACCTTCCTTACAAATCTTTGGTTACTGCAACTCGTTTTATATTTTAGTATAAAGTGAAGAGCCTCTGACGTCCATCTAGTAACCTGAGCAAATATTTGTGGATTAATAGCTTCTGTCTTGCCAGGTTTTGGTCCTTTGAAGCTCGTGTGCTTTCTTTTCTTTCAGTGGCAGAGTTTTTCAGTTTTCTGATGAGCATGAAGTTTCCAAAGACCTATTCCTTCTAGAAAGGAATATCAGAGCCACTTGGCTGGCTGGATAAAGGGTCCAGGCCTGACCCACTGGCTGCTGGAATAGTCCAGTGAAAAAAAAAATGGCCCCATTAACCAACTTTTCTGCCGATACTTTAAGTCTTGCTTACAAATTACCTGTTTCTAATGTCTTTCCATCATAGTCTTCACAATCATCTTGTCAACAAGTTATCCTAAAAACTATTGAAAGTCCTCCATTAATTCTCAGCACAGAAGCTAGCTATCCCTTGGATTCCTTTGTGACTATTGCTTTGCCCTTAACATGGGACTGGTATGAGCTGGTTTTGAAAATTCTGACACTGGAACACATCTTCACCCAGTAAAGTCACTGGCATCTTTCTCATGGGCTGGTTTCAAGGGGCTTCTTCATGGAATTGGCAGTGACCCTAGAAGCTTACCTCCACCGTGAAAATTTCCCAGTTAACACAGCTCCCAAACCTCATCACTACTTCAGTTTTCTGGGTTGCTGGATATTGAACATAAACTACCTTAACTGGGGTTGCATAGAATTGGTTGGGAATCACATGAGTTTTCCCATATAAGAACTCTTCATCGGGTCTAGATCTTGACTTATGTTGCCTTCTCAAAAAATAAACAGAGATGCTTTTTCATTTTAAATAATGTACAGGCACCTGCCACTGGCTCCAAGTTTTGTAATTGCATAGTTCTCTGATGTTGCTTGGGTGGGGGCAGGGGATGTGTGTGGGGGGGCATGCAGGTAGTAGACCAGATAGATCAAGATTCAGGTATCCAGTTTAACGGCTCTCAGCTACAGCCAAGATGTATAGGTATGCTCCTGCCTTCTGCTTAGACATGTGACTTTGGATAGGTCATCGTCTCTGACTTTGATTTTCTCACTTGTTAAATAATATAATCGGACCAGGTTCCTTCCAGGCCTTTTTCTGGTCCTTTCCATCTCTAAAGGTCTATGATGAATAGGTGAGTCACGTCATTGTGGTTCCCAGCATAGCACCCTAGAGCCCTGCTCCCCATTCCTGGCACGCACACACATCTCCAGATGGGACTCCCTGGTTTTTAAAGAAGGGCAAATGGAAAAGGAGACCTGAAACCCACATAGTTTCAGTTCTGACTTAGGGAGTTTTGAATTTAAATGCTTTTGCATATGAAACAGTGAGTGGGCAGAGAAAATTCTGCAGAAAGAGGGCCCTGAGGTTGGATGAGCAATGTACAACCCCTTTCTAGTGGTGGTTCTCCTTAGGAACCAAACATATCACTGCTCAAAGCCAAAAAAGAAAAAATAAGTAGAAGTAGGGAAAAAAAAGAGAATCCACCACACTGAGAGAGGCATTATTGAACAAAGAGAAATTGAACTTGGTGGCACATATATCCACATAGGCCCTTGGCCAACCCACGTACTTCTAATATAACCTGCATAGAACAGGATGAGTTCCGGGTTGGAGGTTTTACTGAGCCTTTGAAGGTGGAGGAACTTGCTCTCAGTCTCAAGACTTCCAAGAAAAAGAAAAACAACAGCGCTAAGAGGGAAACCTGTTGGGATTGATGCTACATGTAGTAGCGTCTTCCAAGCAGCCCTGTGGGATGAGTAACTCTTGAGTTGGGATGTGTGACAATGCTGGGACCAAGAATGGCTGGACAGTGGTGTATCCCCATTGCTTCTACAGCTTCTCTCCAAGGCAGAGATCCCTGTTATTAAGGGGTCTGAGCACAGTGCCTGCAAATAATATGTTTGCAACTTTTAAATTAATTGGGGTCCTGATTGACAAACATGTTCCAGGTAAATGTTTACAGCCCTTAAAGGAAACACAAAGCCAGTCATGGAGGGAGGTCTGAAATGTTGCTTGAAGTGTAAAGAGTGAAAGGAGAGAAAAGCTAAGAATTTAAATGGGAAGAACTAATGAGAAAAACATATGACACTATTATACTGGAATTTTTCCTTTTTAGGCCATTCCTGAATTTCCACTGAGACCCATTTTGTCCCAAGTGATTTCTCTGATTTTTTTACATCTTATAAAAATGGAGAGTCTCTAAAAGACAACATTTTGTAGGCCTGAGCATTTGTAACTGGCTTTTGGAAGAAGTGGTTAATTATGTGCCCATAAGTGCCTTTTCAAGCTTTCCTTGGATTTTTTTGAGGGGGAGAGGGAAAATTAGTTTTTCTGTTTAAATATTGGACCTCTTGGATGACATCCGTTTTCCAGAGAGTGATAAATAAGGAACGTGGATATGATGCATACAACAAATCTAACACACATCATCAGTTGTGTGAAGGTACATAAAGAAAACACATACTGATTTGTGGAACAGGGTTCAAGGGAAGTCAGGTCTCATGGAGGGAGTAATATAATGGGACAGTTCATGGCAATGAATGAAGAGATGTAGCTGGAGAATCAAAAACAAATAAGAACTGAAAGTAATGTTGATCTGGAGGCTTAGAAAGTTTTGGGGACCATTTAAAAATAAATGCTCCGTGGTTCTCTCACTGTGCCTTAGGGATGGGAACAATCAATTCCTATGGGACAGCCCACTGTATTCCTGGGGCCGAGGCAGATCTTGGAGATACACAGTGACTAGAATACACAGAGTTCCTGCACGAAGGAGCTTGCATCCCAGAGAGGGATCCCTGACAAAAAGCCAAATATATAATATGCCACATGTATTGATAAAGACCTTGGAGGAAAGTAAAATAGGGTAAAGGAGATGGAGAGAGGGCAGGAGGGTGGGGCTTGTGCTATTTTATATAGGTTATGATCGCGACCATCGTTAAGTCTAGACACCATTCTCCCACTGTAAGATGAAGAAACTGAGCCATGAGAGATGGCCCAAGTTCCCCCACTGGTAGTGGCCCATTGCAAATAAACCCCAGGTCTTCACACAAGGCTTGCCCACGGTTGAAAATGAGTGGCTACCATCAGATTTTGAAGTCCATCATTTCTTCCCTTCGGCATTGATTTCTACTGATTTTCTTATAAGTATAGAATTAGCTGTCCAACACTATTCCCATACTGACTGACACTGGTGGTAATGGTACCTAAGATAGAAGATATTAATTTACCAGTTGGTGACTCAGAAGTTGTCTAGAGGCGACCCGACCCATTGTGTGGTCAATAGGCAGCTGTGACACCGCTTAGTGCTTGTCACCATTGTGACACCCCCAGGAGCGCACATGGAGCTCCAAGTGCAGCGTGTACGTGGGTCAGCTGGGAACTGCATGAAAATGCAGATTCTTTCTCAGAACATCTAGGTGGGGGCTGAGATTTGCATTTCCAACAAGCAGACGGGTGATGCTGATGTTGCTGGACCACAGACCACACTTTGAGTACCGAGGGTCTAAGCACCATTGCTCCAGGATGCTCAGCTCAATTAAAGAAGAAACTTCAGAGTTAAAGCTTGCATTTTCTTTCTTCATTTTTCCCTTTACCCTCCTCCCCTTCCTTGGAAGAACCCAGCTTAAAAAAAGAAAACGTTATGAAACACCAGTGCCAAGCCCAAATTACAAAATTAGGCACATAATTATCTGGGCAAAAAACAGATGTCTCAGACTGGGGGTTCGCTCAACTGCTGCCAGGGCCACATGATAAACTTGCTAGATTGAAAAGCTGGTCATGGCTGCACAGCATATGTAA